AGATCATCACTCCTGGGTGTGGACTTCTCCAGAGTCCTTTTTCATATGACCTGTCTCTAAGACTATTTCCTTTTTATGTTAAATAGCGTTACACAATGTATAAACTATATAGCGTGTCATATTCACAAAGTAATAGCAGAGGTCTGCCATAGAACTATATATATCACTTGGAACTGTAGATATGTAACAGAAACCTCTCTCTTAGTTAATACTAAATGAATTATATTTGTACTTATTTAACTTGATTTTGTATATGCCAGTGGCCAAAAAATTGAGAAGATGACTTAAGAAATTGATTTTCTGTGATTTCTTTAATAAACACAAATTTGAAGTCAGTTACTTTACTATTACTGAACTAGTATCTAAGATGACAAGGACTATTAATATTATTAATAGTTTGTTACTGTTTATTTTGTGTACCAAAATACAATTGACTTTCTCTATACCAACTCCCCCATATGAAATGTTACTTGTTTACCTTTCCTAAAATTGAAATTTCCACATGATTAATGTAAACAAAACATATTTTAAAAGGATACTAAAAATCAGACTGCTCATGCTCTTGGAAGGGTTTAGTTTAAGGACTTCTTTTCTGCAACCTGAGCATCTGGTATTTTCAAATTAGGTACCTTCTAAATTTGACTCATACATTATGGAAATCTGATGACACGAGGGGTGGATAGGCTTGCTTTGATTTTATGAAATATTAATCATAGCTGTGATTAATGATTCAGCATTTCACATCTGGGTTATTCCTGTCATATTTGAAAATTACACTATTAAATACAGTATATTAACTTAGAGTAGGTGGGGTCATACTAATTCTCTAGTGTCCCTTAAAAATTAAGTGGAAACTTAACAATATACCAGAAGCTACCAGTGATAATCTGTGATGTTGACAGTTCCTGGCATATTTTATACCCTCAAGAATTTTTTGATGTAAATTAGTACACATCTCTTCAGGGAGTTGAAGCTATAGAATCTACTTTCCAGAGAACTGTTGTCTCTAACTAACCAAGAAGCTCAAGAGTGGTTTTATTATGCAAAAGAGGAAGAATAAATAGAAATGGTGCACCAGTAAAATTGTTTCGATTGTTTGACTCTTGAAAGCCATACCTCACCCCTGCTATCATTCTTGACCATCACTATAGGTCACGCACTGTGCTAAGTACATACTTTACATATATTTTCTTATTTAAAAAAAAGTATGGAGTGGGCTTAACAAGCATTATGTGATTTGATGGGTTACAATCATCAGATTGTAAGCATTTGCTCTAAATAAATAGAATTTACCATGTTTAAAATCTGACATACTTTTCATGGGTCATTTTCTCTTCCATATTTTTTCTGATTATTTTACTTGTATCGTTTATAAATTAATATGAATCTAAATTTAACACTAGAAGGAAATGGCATAGTGGAAGAATATTTGAAGCAAAATATGGACTTATAGTAAAAGTTGCTCTCAAAAGTCATTGGAAAATGATGGTTAATTTAGCAGCCTGAACTTTGACCTAAAACTTACATACAAGGCAGGTCGATTATTGTTATTATAGTTGCTTTGGTGATTCTAGAAAATTAAATAAGCCCTTATAAGCAGAAGAGGATGTCTTATTACTGTTGTTGGTGTTCTCTTAAGTTCATACATTCATAGCTAGATTTGAAAGATATACCATCTCTGACTTTTGCACTCTCCACACCTTAGGAGTCTGGCCCCGGCAGCTGAGAGCTTGCTGCAGTTCCCCAGGCCAGAGCACCCGGGGCTAGCAGCAGCGTGTCTGCCGTCTGGCCTGCTGAGGCTGTGCTAGGTGCACGTTGACATGCTGTTTGCCCATGTGGATCCACTTCATACAAGTGGGGAGGATTCATTGAGGGGGTCTGTCTCTATTTTACTCGTTCAGAACATTTGAGAATTGCTTTCTATTAATAGAAACAGAGGTGCATAGAAAATTTTCTATATACTATCCAGTTGGAGTCACAACCCAGTATTTTAGCCTTTAAAAATAAGGTAAAAGTACCCAAACCATAATCAATGAGGCTTACCAATTCTTGGGAGACAAATTGTAAATTTCATTTTAAGCTGAGTAACAGGTATATATTCTATATGTGGATGGTTCGTGTTAGTTCTTACTTTTCTTTAGGGTGGACGGTTGGGTTTTTGTTTTACATTGTCAGATACGTTCCTCTGCTGCTACAGGTGATGGGTTTATACTTGGGATGTAGTTGTAGGGACAGTTACACTTAATATGGATACTAGGATTAAATTAACTTTGGCCCTTTACTATTGCGTTGAACTGGATTTTCCATAGTTCTCAAGCTTCAATGTGCATCACTCAGAGACATTGTTAAAACAGATCCCTGGACCCCACATTTAGAGGTTCCTCATCAGCAAGTCTGGAGAGGGGCCTGAGAATTTGCTTTTCCAACCAGTCTAGGCTGGGGTGCTGCTGGTCTGGGGACTGGACCTGTGGAACTACTGAGCTAGAGTGATGGATTCATTTTCAGTGTGAGATACTCATGGCCACTATTAGAGTCTAGCTCATCCCCAGTTTTGTAACTTCTAAGTGTTACTTTTCTTCTTTTTCTTTTCTCTTTTAAACTATCAATTCTACTACCCTTAATGAAAAACAAAATAAAACAAAAAACACTCTTATGAGTCTTTCCAGCCAGAAGGAATGAACTTTTACATCTTTATTCATTGAGAAGTCCTACCCATTCAGTATCATCTCAGCTTTTCTCACCTATATTTATGTTGTAGAAACCCAAAAGCTCTGCCTTTACATCCTCTTTTCTTTCTCTTTCTTTCTTTTCTTTTCTTCTCTCTCTTTTTCTTTTTTTTTTGCATTCTTTTTCACTGTGAGAGAAATGGATCCCTGAAAAGAGGTTGCAAAATGAAGATAGTACTAAAATGCAAGCACTAGCAAATACAGTGACAGTGGCAAAGGGACATTTCTCCTCTTAGAACAAACTTTATCAGCAACATTATGATGTAATATGGCCTCTAATCGAGCCCACAAGAAGTTGCCGCCCCCAAACTTGAAATTATTAAGGCTATTTGAGATATGGATTGACATCTCTATCAGTAACAGGGTATTTCTTCTGACGTTATTTCATGATATTGGAAGCTATCATGATTACCAGAAAAGGGGGTTATTTATATCATGTCTGGCTCATCCTTTTAAAATGCCTATCTGTTCATTAGGTATTAGTACAGTAGGTTATATATAAATTCTAAATGAATAAATACAAATATATTGGGA